TCATTCCTTTCCAAAGTCCATCTCTATTGCAAAGTAGAAAAACAAAAACTCTCAACAACTAAGGAAAAAGTGTGTTATTTACTGTATTAAAGTCTTGTAAGATGGATGTTTTAAAAGTTCCATTTTTGTGCACTGGGCATCTGTTGCATGGCACCTTGTAAGTTCTTGGTATATAGAACTGGCTACATATTGATAATGTTATTTCATATATTTAAAATAAGCTTCTACAGCATAGAGTCCTTTGCTTTCCTCTCTCTATTCTTTACATAATTCAGGGATCGACTGCAAACTAAGGCCTGTGGGCCAAACCCAGCCTACTGCTTGTTTCTGTACAGACAATGAACTAAAAGCTGTTTTTACAGTTTAAATGATTGAAAAAATCAAAAGAATATTTCATAATATGTGAAAATTATATGAAATTCATGTGGGAGTGTCCACAAATAAAGTTTTATTGCAACACTGCAGCACTCATTTGTTTATGCATTATCTTTGGCTTCTCTCAGCTATGAGGGCAGGGTAGAGCAGTAGCCTGAAATATTTGCTATCTGGGCTTTCACAGAGAAAAAGTTTGCTGATCCTTGAAACAATTCTTTGAAATATGAAAGAATTAGAATTGGAGGGCTTTATTTATAGTTTGTCCTTAATGACTCTTTAACATATAGGCATTTCCATTTTTCAAACCATTACAGCCCACTACTATTTGTATTATTACTTTTATCTCATAAATAATTCTGAATGATTAATACGTGTGAAACTCCAGATTTTTCTACTTAAGGAAGTTCTGAAAAATACACCAAAGTGAGGGTTCAGTGTAAGCACCTGGTGTTAGAAAAAGTGAGCAGAAATAAAAAGGCAGGGCTGGCTAACAAGGGACAAAGGAGAGCTGTTCTGCAAACAGGTGGCATGAGTTCAATGCAAAAATCAAAACAAAACAAAAACCCAAACCCCCCTCTAAAAGAAAACAAAATGAAAACACGGTCCAAGGTAAATCCAGGTATCGAGGGCTATGGTAGTACGATAGCATCATTAGTAGAAACAAGGCAGTCAAGAGAAGGAGTAAGTGGCTAAAGAAGGCTGAGTACAGTTTTGGAAATGGTGAACTCGACAGAATGCTGAAATGACCATATAACGAAGTCAACTAGGTAGAAAGTAATGTAGTATGAGAAATTTCTGGGCTGGAAATTCCAATTCAATATCCCATATATAGCCACAGATACTCCTGGAAGTTCCCAAAACTCTGTAATTGAGAGGCTGTAACAGGGTGTTAAGCTAGAAGTCTCCAAAATGGGAAGTCCCCTACTAACCAGGCTTGGGAGGAAAAGGAAGTGGAGCAGGGCCACGGAGAGTTCTTTGCATATCTAAAAAAACTTGGCAAGTGTTTTAGTAATGCTAAGTCCCCTGGTTACTGCACCTGTGCCAGCAGCTTGGAAGCAGGCAGTTCCCAAGTCACAGGGCCAAGCCTGCCCAGACTGACAATGGCAGCCAAGAAAGGCAGAAGAGACCAGAGTACTTGCAGGTGTAACCCTTTGTGGGAAGGGTCAGAAATGGGGTTATGGAAGAAGATCCTCCCTGGGATTTAAATCCAAGCACGGGGCAGCCGTGCTCTGTCTCCCTCAGCCATTTGGGAGTTCTTAACCATGAGGCTTAAGAAGGAGAAGCACCTCATGACCATATGGCTTGGGAGCAGTCTTGGCCACATGGTTTGAAAGGATGCAGAAGGCCTGCCACTGGCCCACCATGAGGAGCGGCCATGATATTTTGGATTAAGAGCAGGAGCACAGCCAAGCACGACGACTGGAAGAAGCCAGAATAGACAGGAATCTGCTCAGCTAAGCTACAGACTTCTATTTCTTTTCCAGAAAGACAGTTTCTGACTGGCCTAGTTTTGTAAGGGGGAAGGAGGACTGTGTGATTATGGGTGTTTTTTGTTTCCAAAGGGAGTGGGATATAACAACAGAATTTCACCACTATTCTAAACCTGTATAACTTTTGAATAAATAAGACTCTAGCAATGGAATCACAGTTTTTCAGTGGCGGGCAATAGAACCCAGAGGAATAGAATTCAGAGTGGTTCTGTTTCAAGGCTCTTATGTTATGTCGTGTGTGTACCTTAAGTTTACTATGAAACATAATTATTATAAGGAGAAAGTGACATTTTAAAGTAAATATTTTATTTTTCTCTTGTTCTAAATAATGAGCCACAGGAAACTTTAAATTATTAAATACACATATGGAATTGTCAACTGACAACTTTATCAGCCTGTCCTCAAATAAACAAAAAAGAAAAATATTTCAACAAGTAGAGAAGATAATCTCCATAGATATAAGCCCTTAATAATTAAAAAAAAAAACAAAACAACCCAGCCTGGCCTTAACCATGGAATAAATTAATTAAAATAACCCTAAAGGCTAGATTCTGCAATCGGATATATCTTCTACTGCTATCATGGATTAACAGAAAATTAGTGCTAAAAGGGTCTTTTGAGATAATTGTGATAGTCTCCTTTTGGATGGTTGGGAAGGATAATTTCCAAGAGGCTGAGTTACTTGAGAGACTCACTCAAGGTCCTACAGAAAGTCACTGTGAGGACCAAGGGCAGACTAGACACCAGTACTCTCACTATCAGAGATTATCACAGATTATTAGCTTTATAAAAAAAGTGATAAATATCTGAAAATACTCTTTTACTCAATCCAAAACCTTTTTATCATGCTCGATACTAATGATGACTATGAAAATTTGAAAAACATTATAGATATATTATAATTATTAGTCTTATGGCATAGAACTAAAAACAATGATGCAGCCCAGTAGGTAGTTTAAGAAAAAAAAATTTTAATTACCCATGAGAGTAAACCTTATAAAAGACATCTAAGCCTTTCCTGTTCACCAAAGGACCAGCACAGGAAATGAAGATAAACAAAGACTAATACTGTAAGAAGGGCAGTTACAGAGTAGGGTTTTTCAATACATATATTCCATGCACTAGTATTAAAACCACAGTAAGACCTCTGGAAATTAGCTACTGTATGCTTCTCTAGGAAAATCTTCTAGTTTAATTAACAGTAAGCATTACCAAAGTCATCCAGGGCCTAAGGCTGGGCTAGTGTACTGTCGAGTACACACTGGAAGAGATTCAAAACAGTGTTATAATGGTAAAATGATGTGCTGAAATTTGTTGATGAAAACTAGAATAAATGTAACCAAGGTATTCATAGGACTCTATTAGGGATGTTTTACATTAAGTCAAAGAGCTCCCTCCTCTGAATATAGAAAAATAAAAAGTCATCAAATGGTGTGATAATGTGATATGCTGATAGAACCAGCACTTAAACATACACACATATTCACACCAAGCAAATCATCAGGCCCGTCAGATATTTCAGAATAAACCTGGCACTGATTTCAGTCACTGAGAAAAAAATAATGCTGGTAAAAACATTATACTCTCTCTTGTTTTTTTAACAATTTGATGAGGATGTCATGGTAAACATACTTCAAAATCCCTGATTACTAAAGCAATGTTTAGAGAATTTCTGTCAGTAAGATATTAAATTAAAGCAGCAACTGAAGAGCATTATTATTACTATCAAGAATGAGCTATTATCCACTCTAAATCACTTGCGGAATATGACGCAGTCCCATCAGTAATATGAGTCACTATAGCAGGGATTCTCTCATAGGAGGTGGGCACAGAACAACAGACAAAAAGCCTTGTGTAAAAGCCTCAGGAGCTCTGCCAATAGCCCCCCTTGCCCCGAAACCCTTGGACATCCTTCCACCACACTGTGAGTCAATGTTAGAAAACACTGCTTAGAAAAACAGTTTCAAGTTACTAACTGCTACTGACTAACTAGTAGGCAAAGGTGACACAGACCCAAGAAAGGAAATGAAAGACTCTAAAAGATTAACAAGTATAAAAGAATAATAGTGGTAAATAAAAATAAAATCAGAAGGGTTCAAGAATTGAAAAGAATCGACACTTAAGATACACTAAAGAAATCATACAAATAACTGTAATCTTTTAACCGGAGTAAGAAAATGAAAGACATTCATATTTTTGTCATATTTATCAATTCAGAAGTATAAAGTATATGTATATACATGAATAACATTAAGAAAACACTAAGTTTTCATATATACAGTTTAATCTAATTAGGATCCTTGCCTTTTCAATACAGGTCTACCTTTTTGGAAAGATAGATACTCTGTGATCCAATAGTGCTCCCCACTCACACTTACGTATAGCTATACGAAAGAGCTTCTATGAGTTACATCTAATTTGACATAAACGTAGCTGAGAAAAACCTGTTGTATGTGGCAGTGATGATATTATGAAGAGTAATGTTTTTAGCTCAATTAAGATCCTACATTATATGGCTGACCTTATCTAAGCCTGGTGTTAGATATTATATATACATATATGAAATATATAGAAGAAAAATACAATATAATGTTTAGAAACACTTTAATATATATTAAACCAAAAAAATCACATTTTAAATGTATCAATGACTTTTTAAAGTACCCCAATAAATGTAGTAATTAATATTCATCCCTTCCTTAGGGAACTGATCAATTCTAGATCTATAACCACAGGTCCCATCACCAAGAGTTGTTATGTCCAATACACACACATTTCCTTCCACAATGGTTAATAAAGAGCAGCCAAAAAGTAGAACATATCTGTACTAAAGCTATTATGCTCAAGATGATACTGTTTAATTGATGGCTGTTAACTTCAATGATGCTACCAAATTTTTAATTGCTCTTGATCCCATTTTATTCCCAAGGTTGACTATTTATTTAGCTGTAGGTTTGTTCTTAATATTCTCCTAAAATAGGGGAATGACTTTATTTAAAAGTAGTCCTGATTCTTCCAGAACCATAAAAGGAATAAAAATGACTAGTTAACTATTAAGCAAAGTGAACACTGATTATTACGTATTAGTAATACACAAATTTTACCACGCAGAATATTACAAACTCAAAGTTTTACCTCCACACAGGTTTTCATCCCTGAGGCAGCAGCATAGTGCAGAGGTGTGTTTTTTTTGTTATCTACAGCATCAATAGCTGCTCTCTCATATTCCCCTTGGTCAAGTTTTGCTCCTTTCCATCTTAAGATCATCTGCAGACAATCTGCTCTTCTGAAATCATCTTCTGCAGGGCGTGCCAGGCGAGGATGAAGGGCTCCATCAGATATCATAATTTGAGGTCCCATACACAACAAATGCATAGATGTTTCATTGTGCACATTCCGTTTATTTGGATTTCCATCTCTACCAAAAAGAAAAGTCCTAAAATAGTAAAGGAAAAGGATAAAAACCAGTTATTTTCTACTTCAAAATAAGAATACACAGAAAATAAGTAATTTTCAAGATGACCTACTTCTAACTTGTTAATACAGTTTTGAATTCTTGTTTCACAATAGGGTGAATGACTAATTCTTGGTTATAAAAAACTTATTTTAGAACAATACTGAGAAGAACAAACTGACTATCTTTACAGTATTTGTTAATAAAAGAAGAGGACATAGGAAGGAGGAAAAGGTGAAAGGAAGGAAGATGGAGTAAAGAGGAAAAAGAAGAAGAGAGAAAAGGAAGGGGGAGGAAGGAAAGAAACAGAGAGAGGGCCGCTTACACACTATTGACATAAATGCCTCAGAGTACGTTATTGAACATTCCACACCAACTTCTTTTCCTTTATTTTCTGCCCTATTTCTCTTCAGTACTTATTTATTTAATAAGAATGGTGACAATATCAGCATAGCAAGTAATATATAAGTTTAGGACTAAATTTTTAAATCTAGGAAAGATAGCTCTACTTGAAAATTATCAGCTAGCGTTTATAAAGTATAATCCTTTTTGAAGGGAGTAAATTGTGGTTAGTTTTAGAAGACCAAGATATAATTTCAAGGTTGTAGTCTTTACCGATGATAGGTCTAGGTTGCTACTCCCTTAAGTACTGACAAATCAAGACCTGAGAGTTGTACCTAGTTCTTAATCTATCTTCCAGCTAGGGTCATAGGATTAACAGTTCAGCCAATTCAGATGCTATAAAAGGATACTGGAAAATGAGCTGGGAAAAATCTGCTATAATAGAGTCAGCTTATGCTAGAACACACAAATACACTATGAAGTGGACATATAGGTCTCATGTCTGAAGACAGCCTACATGTGCTGTGGAGGGCTGATATCAATCACTAGTATTGGACTATGTTCAAATCCAGAACAACGTACAGGAAGGAAGCACAACCAAACCCTAAACCCTAGTTATATTAAAAAGTAAACAAATGACAAAAACCCCTGACCACAGAGAGTTGGCTGCAAGCTAGCCTACTTTTCAATTTGAATTTGTAAGCCAAGCTGGAAATCTCTCATGGGAAAAAAGCTGAGTTAAGAGGTCCTAAGGCAATAGAAGGTCCCAGACAACTTTTACAACATAGATCTTTCCAGTTATGTACATTCAAGACTCTAGAGCTCATAAACAGAGTAAAAGGCTCAGTCTCTTTGACTCTGTCTTGTTCAGGTCTGCACTGTTCCCATGGCCTTCAGGCTAACAGCCCCTGTTTGAGACATGCTAAGCATTAGAGGAATTCTGTTTGGAGCTAGATTTTTTTTAAACAAAAACAGTCCCTCCCATTTTCCCTTTTCTTGACATAAAGAAACCCGAACTCTGTACTTTTAAAAAAAAAAAGATTTTATTTATCTTAGACAGAGGGGAAGGGAGAGAGAAAGAGAGAGAAACATCTATGTGTGGTTGCTTCTATGTGGCCCCAACTGGGGACTCGGCCCACAACCCAGGCATGTGCCCTGACTGGGAATCAAACTGGCGACCCTTTGGTTCACAGGCCAGCACTCAAACCACTGAGCCACACCAGCCAGGACTGGACTCTGTACTTTCTTAACCTGGATTTGAAGAACTACTCGGGCTCCCATTTTCTCAATAGCCTTCTCTATCAATAATCTTTCCTTATTCCCAACTCTGAATGGTTTTGAGTTTTGACCTTTGACCTTTCAAAGCATCAGGGCACAGGGACTTTGGATCAGTAATAAGCAGTATAGTTCTTCAAAACTGCCCTATTAGATTTTTAGCATCTACATTTAAACAAATTGTCTTGCAAGGACTCAGGAGGTCTTTGAAGCACAAACAAATGAATTACTATTACTTATGGTAACTATGCCAGTTCCTTATACCTCAACTCTTCCCACTGGGGCAACGCAATCAAGGGCCAAATGAATCGTCATCCTACGTGTACTGAGTTCTGCACTGTAGGTGAGTGTGGTAGGCAGAATAATTCCTACACTCCAAAGAGGTCCATGTCCTAATTCCTGGAAGCTATGAATATATTATCTTACATGGTAAAAGGGACTTTCACCGATGTGATTAAATTAAGGTTCTTATGATGGGGAAATTATCCTGGATTATCAGGGTTGGCCCAGTGTAATCACAAATCCTAATAAGAGGCAGATAAGAGGGCTGGAGTTACAGAGATTGGAAGGTGCTATGTTGTTGCCTAGAAAGATAAATGAAGTAGCCACCAGACAAAACATAGGGAGATTTGGAAGCTGGAAAATAAAATTCCCAATCATATTTCCCTATATTTACAATGGTTGAATTATAGCAGATTATAACGGATAAGTAAAATTAATACCATGCTCTTACAAATGTATTCATCAAGATTAAAACTTCTTGCCCTGGCAGGGTAGCTCAGTTGGTTAGAGTGATGTCCCAATACACCAAGGTTGTGGGTTCAATCTCTGCTCAGGCTACATACAAGAAGTAACCAATGAATGTACAAATAAGTTAAACAAGAAGTCGATGTTTCTCTAAAACAAAACAAACAAATAAATAAATAAAAAGCAATTATAAAAGACTGAACCCTCTTGAATACACTGACAGCTGTGAGAGGGGAGGAGGGTTACGGGGCTGGGTAAAAAACATAAAGGGATTAAGCAAAAACAGAAAACAACGTAGAGACAGATGACAGCATGGTGATTACCACAGAGAATCAGGGTGGGGAGAGGCAGAAGAGGGTGAAGGGTGGATAAATGGCTATGTGAGGAGACTGGACTCGGGGGTGTGAACACATGGTACAATATGTGTTATCCTTCTTAAATTATTTTTAGTACAATTTCTCTTTTACTCATGATGATGGCTCTCCACTTCCCACCCCCTTGTTGGAAGCAAATTCAGTTCTTGAATTTGTTTTCTTCTCTATACACATTTCCTTCTTTACAGAACACATATACTTTATAAGCTGTAAAGTATTATTGGAACCTAAATGATAGGCAGTAGCAGAATAATGGGTTCTCCAAAGGGCTTCTACTATTACTTCTGTGATAAATTTTAATCCTCTGTCAACCTGTTTGATTTCTCATTCCACCTCTAGACATATGCTAAATTCTTATAGGCCCCTTTCTCTCGCATATTCCACTATCATCTCATATTCACTTGAACTCCGTCCAAAATAATAGCTTTCACTCCCAGAACTATAATTTCTTGCCATAACACTCTTTTCCTAGTGACCAACATATACATACACTTCTAGTTCCTTTTGAATCTTCTGTTTTATGAGACAATCAATTATTAAGCAGTATTCACTTGTCAGGTTCTATTCTCTAGAAGTAAGGCATATTGTGAAGACAGTAAACACTAAAAATCAGTAATTGGAAACTCTTTAAATTCTCAAAATTTGGCATTAATATGACCTAATAAGGATTTCATATTTTATTTATACCAAAAGATAGCACCTTTTTATTTCCAAAAAGCAAAATTTCTGTAAAATCTAAGGAATAAGTATTAGAATCCTTATTCTATACGTGACTTTCCCAAGAAGATACAAGTAGTAAATTGTATATAACTAATACCCATCCAAACCATAACATGCTTACTCCAAAGTCCAACGGTCTTTTTACTACATTAAGTACTAACTATTTATAAACATGGATTCAGTTTTCCTCGAAAGAGGCACTGTGGTATGGTATGATAGTGTATACAACCATTTGGGTTCAGAGATATGAATGCAGATGGAACTGCTGAAACTGTGTACTACTCTTCTTTTACCATGTTATTCTGCCTAAGAAAGAAGGATAGTTATGCCTATTGTTGCAGGGACCATAAAGCTAAAGGAAATGGAGATAAAATGACGGCCTTAATCCAAATGGGTGCTTTATTTTATGGGTGCTAGGTCCTTGACTAGGTATGTCTGTCTACCCTTATGTACCCATATATAGCATGTGTTACTAATCTAGCCAAGCTGAGCCAGGGTTTACATTAAAGATAATAAGCAGTTACCCCAGATTACAGGAGGCAGCATGAGAAAACAATGACCATAAACCTGCTAGAAAATTTAGCAAGGTTAAATGCAGTGAAATATTTGAAGCAATCTAGAACACAAATAATTAAAACAGAGTTGCTATTTTACCCAATGCTGATGAGTAAATGCTATTTATCTTGATTATGCATGACAGTGTTAATTTCTTAATTCCAAAGCAACTAACATTTAAATTAATTTGACTTTTGATTTTCTCTGTACTATCTAAATAAGTTTTTTGGAAAAAAAAAGGATACACAGATTAAAAATGAGAATTGCTTACCCTTAGGATAGGAGAACAATAAAGTAATTTTGATTCTAGTAGAGGACCTTAAAGGCTGTAATAAAGAAATGATTGGCGGACTTCCGCCAAGATGGAGGCATAAGTGGAAATACTGTGCCTTCTCACACAACCAACTTTAAAGACAACAAAGTTGTAGTAACAAAAAACGCAGCCAAAACACAGAAAATTGAACTGTACGGAAGTCCGACAACAACGAACCATTCAGCAAGACCATTAAGAGGGGCAGAGCCAGTGGCTGGTAGAGCGGGGTTGCTCAGGAAAAGTTGGCTGGACCGATCCAGGTGCGTGGGTGGTGGTTGACAACCCCAGGAGTGGGGTTGCGACGGGCAGACCCAGTGAGGGTGCAAGGCGGCAGGCTGAACGCGGTCACACATTCATGTGCAGAGAAACCAGCAAAGGAGCAAGCATTGAGACAGACCGCGCAGGCCCCAGTGGAGGGAAGCAGCAGAGGGGACCACTATTGCCCCTCTTTGACCCCGCCCCCACATACAACATCACAACCCGGAAACCTGGGCGGCCCCACCCTGGTGAACACCTAAGGCTCCGGTCCTCATACCTAATGGGCGTGAACAGACCAAAACATAGCTCAAGAAGAACTCAAAGCCCCAGAGCCAATAACTCTAAGCGACCAAGAAATAGCCAAACTTTCAGATGCACAGTTCAAAACACTGGTGATCAGGATGCTCACAGAACTGGTTGATTTTAGTCACAAATTAAAGGAACAAATAAAGCCTAAGCTAATTGAAATGAAGCCTAAACTAATTGAAATGAAGGGAAATGCACAGGAAACCAATAGTGATGGAAAGGAAACTGGGACTCAAATCAAGGGAGTGGACCAGAAGGAAGAAAAAAATGACAAAACAGAAAAGGATGAAGAAACAAGAATTCAAAAAAATGAGGAGAGGCTAAGGAACCTCCAGGACATCTTTAAACACTCCAACATCCGAATTATAGGGGTATCAGAAGGAAAAGAGAAAGAGCAAGTAGAAAACTTATTTGAACAAATAATAAAGGAGAACTTCCCCAATCTGGCAAAGGCAATAGACTTCCAGGAAATCCAGAAATCTCAGAGAGTCCCAAAGAAGTTGGACCCAAGAAGGAACACACCAAGGCACATCATCATTACATTAGCCAAGATTAAAATGAAGGAGAGAATCCTAGAAGCAGCAAGAGCTAAGGGGACAGTCACCTACAAAGGAGTTCCCATCAGACTATCAGCTGGTTTCTCAAAAGAGACCTTACAGGCAAGAAGGGGCTGGAAAGAAGTATTCCAAGTCATGAAATTCAAAGACCTACATCCAAGATTGCTCTATCCAGCAAAACTTTCATTTAGAATGGAAGGACAGATAAAGTGCTTCTCAGATAAGATCAAATTCGAGGAGTTCATCATCACCAAGCCCTTATTATATGAAATGTTAAAGGGACTTACCTAAGAAAAAGAAGACAAAAAAGATGAACAGTGAAAGGATAGCAAACTCACAGTTATTAAGAACCACACCTAAAACAAAAGCAAACTAAAAGGACAGCTAAATCAGGAGCAGAACCATAGAAATGAAGATCATATGGAGGGTTAGCAACAGGGGAGTGGGAGAAGGAGAAGGGGGGAGAAGGTACAGAAAATAAGTAGCATAGATGGTAGGCAGAAAATAGATGGGGGGAGGGCAAGAATAGTATGGGAAATATAGAATCTAAAGAACTTGAGACACATGGTCATAAACTAAAGGGGGGGGAATGGTGGGGGAGGGGTGTACAGGGTGGAGGGGAATGAAGGGGGGAATAGAACAACTGTAATGGCATAATCAATTAAAAAAGAAGAAAAAATAAATGATTGTTTATTATTTTTTTATAAATTATCATTAATAAGCCACTGATCTCTAACAATTAAAAAAATCCAAACACTTTAGCTTGAAGTTGAAAGTTAAATGTAAAGTAAAAATATAAATTTCAGTATAATGTAGATAGCCGAATGATAAAAGTAGTACAAACTGGTAACTAAAAGAGAATATACACTCACACTTTCTGTAGGTCTTTAAATATTCATTCAATAGAATGATAACCACATGACAGAGACGGAGAGATATATTCCTGCTTAGAGGAACCAAGACTATGGACCAGATCAGCTATTCTTAGACTTTTTGGTCACAGTACCCTTTTACAACTTTAAAAATTACTGAAGATTCTACCCTGGAATCTTCGGGCTTAATGTGTGTCTTAGTTGGTTGGAGTGTTCATCTTGTAAACTAAAAGGCTATGAGTTTGATTTACTGTAGGGCACATGCCTGGGTTGCAGGTTCAGTTCCCAGTCTGGGTACATATAAGAGGCAACCGACAGATGTCTCTCTCTCACACTGATGTTTCCCTCCCCTTCTGCCTCCCTTCCCCTCTCCCTAAAATCAACAGACATGTCCTCAGGTGAGGAGAAAAAAAATTTACTGAAGATTTCTAAGAACTTCTGTTTATGTGGGTTATATATATATTGATGTTTAGCATATTAAAAAATAAAACAAACATGTAAAAAATATCCATTAAAAAGTAAAGCTATTACATATTAAATATTCTACCATCTTAAAATAAAAATATCTATAAATTTTAAAAATTAAGTGAGAAGAATGGCATTGTTTTTACATGTTTATAAATTTCTTTTAATGTCTGGCTAATAAAGGACAAATTCTCATAGCATTCAATCTATCATAATATGTTGTTTTGGTTCAAGCATGTGAAGAAAATGCAGGCTTTATATAGTTCAAAAAAATGTAAGTACTTTAAAATTGCCTTTTCAGGTAATTGTGAATATTCATATTTGATATTATACCAAAAATTCAACAAATTGTCATTTATTGTCAAATCCTAAAGATTACTTTGTAATTTAGAATCTAAAATTTTATCTATTAACTTTTTATACTATTATATTAAAGTCCATTGGCCTATCTTTAATTTTGAAAAAATCTTTTACCCACGCACAGTTTGTAAAAATCAAATACTAATCTTCTGAGAAATACTGATTCACCGAGTTATGGAAATTTTCTAGATGTTGACATATTTCATTTCACAATATTTTTATAAAATCACATTAGTTTAGCCCTGGCTGGTGTAGCTCAGCGGACTGAGTGCCGGCCTAGGAATCAAAGGATCGCTGGTGCAATTCCCAGTCGGGGCACATCCCTGGGTTGCAGGCTGGGTCCCCAGTGGGTGGCGCTCAAGAGGCAACTGAATGATGTTTTTCTCCCTCTTTCTCCCTCCCTCCCCTTCTCTCTAAAAAAAAGTAAATAAAATCTTTTAAAAAGCCCACATCAGAAATCCTGATCATAATATTTCCTCATTCAATGACTTTATAAAACTTTTTACTTTGTTTAAGATATTGTACTATGCAGGAAGTACAGAAGAGACACTTTTACAAAGTTGTGATTTAGGTAGGCAGAGAGAAAATATACAGTTATAAAATACAATTGATACCAACAGACAACCTGTCTAGACAGCTGGGAATGGGCTGAGGACAGTGAATAGGAGCGGCTGCCAGAGAATATGGAGCTGGTAACAGGAATGAAACCTGGGAGCTGCTAGGGCACCAAGCCCTGCCCCTGGAGGCAGAAGCTGGAGGTCACAGCACTGAGAGTGTGGTGTGCAGTCGGACAATACCTTCAGGAACTGACTGGGGTCATGGCAAAGACATGGAGTTATGCTTCCATGTTGCCCAGGTATTCAAGAGCATGCCTTGAGGACACTCTGCCTGGTGTGGAGGTCCTGCTCCTGGCTGCGGATGCCATGCCCAACCCATTGAGGCCACCCTCCGTGCTACCCGAGAGGCTGTCCAGAGTTTCCAGGGTCCCTTTACACAGGCGGTTGAGCTTTACTAGTGGGTTCCAAGTGTGGGTAACTTACTTTGTGGGAACAAGCTAAGCTACCTGGATAACCACTTAGCTGTGGCCTAGGTCTCCACAGGATGGTACTCTAAATGGAGCAGGAACTCTGGGCACTGCCTTTCGTTTTGGTCTTGCTGAGGATGCTGGGTTTCATGGAGGAGATGAGCTTTGAGACTGGTAGCCCCCCATTATCCCACATCATTCAGCACCTGAATAAAAACCCTTTTTCCTCCTTACCAGCCTCTACCTCTCCAGTTTCCCTTTTGTGGTGGTGGACAGCCAAATCCCCATTTTTGTTCAGTAACACAATGAGAGAACGTATGCCAAACAAGTAAGACAAACAAACAAACAAACAAAAAAAGCCATGTAAGTTCTTAAAAATGAAGACTTCAGTGCCTGTGCACTGTGGCAGGCTAAGAAGATAGATAAAACCTGCCTAGGACCTTGAAGGAAAGGTAAGATTCAGATAAAGAAAAAGCTGAGAGGAGTGGGGCAGGGGGTACTTGGGCAGAGAGAGTCCCATAAACATGGCAGACAGAATATACATGTAAAAAGAGCAGCTAAATTTGAACAATTTGTAGAAAGAGAAATTAACAGGTTGAAAGTTTTTGTCAAATTCTAAAAAGCTTTGAATACAGATTTCAGGATTATATTTCACTGTGTAAGCAAAGCAGTTTTTCCTTTTTTCAGTTCTAGCACCAGACTTCCATAGCCACATACTCTACTTCTAAAAAAACTAAAGTGGTTTTGGAACTAGTTTTCTATCCTTTGCTTCCTTCATTTTATAAGCTAGCAAATATCAAATCTGATTACCCTGTAATTAGGTAAGAAGCCTCGAATAAATATATTTGCTGTCACTAATGCTTCTATTTTTTAAAGTTTCTTAGTATTTTTTTAATTTTAAGGAAATGTTTTGCTTTTAGAAAAGTCTTTTCAAGTAACTAAACCCCATCAAAAGAAAGGAAACTCAAATCCGATGGTGATTAGATAAGGCAAAGTTATCTGTGTTGCAACTTAAACTAGTGAATCAGAGTTAAGAACTTTGGTGTAGGTACCATTCCCTGCCATTTGTTGATGGATGACAAGTACTTTTCTTTTTTCTTCAATTTTATTGTTGACATTACTACATATGTCCCCATTTTCCCTGCCTTTGGCCTCCTCCACGCTGCTGCTGCCCTCCCTTCCCTCTGGCCTCACCACGCTGTTATCTGTGTCTAAGGGTAATGCATCTATATTCTTTGGCTGATCCCGCCACCTTTTTTCATCCAGCCTCTTCCTGTTCCCTCTCCTCTGACAACTCTCAGTTTGTTCCACGTGTCCATGCCTCTTTTTCTACTTCACTTGTGAGTTTATTTTCTTCTTTAGATTCCATATATGAATATGTTCATATGGTATTAGCTGACAAATACTTCTCTAGAATCAAAATCACTGAAATTAAACATTAAACTATTGTCAAGAATTGATAAATAGCAAAATGCATTTACAGCAACAAGAATATGTGAACCAACCTCACTATTAAAACTTTTAATCAACTGATGCAGAATGTTAAAAAATCATACTTAACAATTTAAGCATATTAAGTGTTAGAAGTTTAATTCACTATAATACCATATAACATGCACAATACGTGTATGTACTTTTGAAGATCAAGGTTTTCCCCTCCTTCCACTAATTTGTTATCAACTGGTTCACAGGAATACTCACCCTAATATCCTGTTCATTCCGTGCCTAGCGGCATAGTGTAAAGGAGTATTGTGCTGATAGGGCTCCCCATAAGATGTATTTGGATCAAGTGATTCTTTTAGCTGAGGGTTGTTTTCATATATTTGGCAGGCCAGGTTTTCATCACCATTGATGAGTGCTTTGCGAAATTTGGTGGTTGTATTTCCCATGTTTTGTTTTGTTTTGTTTTCTGACAGGCAGTGGCACTTTTTTTTTCCTTCCCCCTTCAGCCACTTTTTGAATGCTTCTGTAACATGTTTCACATTCTATTAAAGGAAAAAAATAATCAAATTAGACTGGGAACCAGTAATTATGAAGCGGTGTCCTGAAGAAACTCACAGTTAGGAACACTAATAAAATCTAGGAAGAGGATGTAAAGTGACAAATCTTATTACATTTTACTAAATTTATCTTAATATCAAAAGAAAATCTCAAATTTTTAACATTGCCCAAATTAACTTCTTGTTAAACTGTAACCTTTCCTGTATAGAGACTGTTAAGTTTTTTCAGGTTGCATTTTGTATTATAAAAGCTATTTACATATGTGTAGAGAAAAAGTTTTAATTTTCCTCTTCACATGGGCAGGAAATGAGCTCCACTAAATTTTATGGTTGAATACACTTAAATCTCTGTATAACAATGTATAAATCTGACTCAGCCAATTTGTGGGCTAGTGAAAAATGTAGATTTTGCTCATGTAAATACTCTAGAAGTTAAATTACAGTAAAGAAAAAGTGAAACTGCTCAGCACTTAGAAGGACATCAGAGAAAGACTTTACAAATGTAAACATTACAGGACTACAGAACAACCTGATAAATGAGAGTTACAGCAAACCAATAAAACTGACTGTAGATAGAGCAATGGAAACATTATTCTACCTTAAGACCATTAAATGTATTTCCTTCTACTATAAAGAATTTAAAACAAAGCTGAAAACATCAAATACTTATGCATACTATGTTTAGAAAGAGGTTATGACAATGGTCATGAGAGCACTGACTACTGAAGCAATGTGAATGTGGGTGGGAGAAGGAGGACATGGAAACAAGTACTGGATTTGGAGTTCGAAATCTCATATTTACCTACCCTAGCCGTGCAATTTTTAGCAAGTTATATACCCTCTAAAAGCCTCAGGTTCCTAGCTGTACAGTAAAGAAAAATGACTACTTCTTAAGGACAGCTGTGAGGATTTTAAGAGCTACTTTATTATAAAGTACCTACCATAGTCCTTGACTAGTATACTCAATAAATATTAGTTTTGTTCCATTCCAAGAAATAATTCTGAATCTACTCTTGAGCAATGATCAAAGTAAGTGATAAAGGAAACAGCATATATGAAGGCAGGTATGAAATAAAAAGCTTAGTCAAGGTGGTAAAGATGGAGTTCAGGGTCTGTAGTGTTGGACTAACAGGAGATAAAACTGAAAATTGGCGGGTTCAGACTAAGAAACTTTTACTTTAACCTGTAAAGAACATATAAAGGCTTTTATGAAGTGCAATGATGTAATTATTTTATTCTTTAGAAAATGAACTATTGTTACAGTGTAGAAGATAGACTAGAGGGAGAAAAACTTAGAAGCAGAATACAGGAGAGTCTATCATATTACCCATTTAACTCAGTGGCGGGCCAGACATTAAAATGTAGCTTCAAAAAGAGTTGGAAATAATACATACTTTTCAACACAGGCTTTGCATGAACAGTAACAGTTTCAACAGAATAAAAATTAAAGGACTGAAAAACAAATTGAGTTTATTTTTTTAAATTTCCTATAAAACAACCTACAGCCCTCAACTTTGGCTATACATTTAACAGCTTGAACAACTTCAGAGTTTCACTGGCAGAGCTACATCCCAGACCAATTAAATCAGAGTGTCGAGTGGGCAGCTCCAGGGCATGAGTATTCAAACTCCATGGGTAAATTCAAAGTGCACACACCACTGCATAAAAAAGCTCCTGAATCTCTCTAGCTGAATGTTATATCTGAGTATGAAGATCAACGTGAGCAGGCAGGGTAAGACATCTGCTGAATCTATTTTAGAGATAGGTATCAACTACCTACTTAGTATAGCAGCACATTTTCTGGCACACAGCTATACCTAATGAGGTCAACATCTGGGTCTTTTAATGGTTCTCTGTCACTGATATTTTTACTTTAAATATTCAAATATATATGCATACATTTTTGAAAATATGAAGAAAAAGGATAAACAACTTATAGTCTATTTACTGGAAAATAACCACTGTTGGCATTTTGATAAGTAACCTTATTTATGATATATGTAAATATGCTTATATGCATATATACAGTATAAATATTTATATACATAAATTGGATCATGCTGCATAATTTAAATTTTTAAATTTAACTTTTTAGAGAGTTGCTGGACCTTTAGCCTTAAGTATTCCTTTATCATCTCATCTTGAATGAGGAGCAAATTCCCCCCTCCTAGAATCTACGCTTTGATAGCACAATATACTGTAGCCACTTTGGGGATTTTTCAACAACAGCCTGGATATTACTGTTTTTATTTTGTTTTTCATTGAATCTAGGAGCCATGTTTTTATCTTCAGTGAAATAATTTGTTTAGTTGTATTGCGTTAGCACTTTAAGAGTTTATTATTCTTAACAGAACTCTAGTTCACTATATATTTTTATCTATAACCAAATAAAAGAACATTATCATGTGGGTTCTAAAGTGTTTTTCATAGGGATTTGGAAACTTTTAGTTATTTGGTTTTATCTTTCTTTCCGGACAGACTGTAGCTCAAATTATGAACATTTGTTCAGAGTTTTAGATTAGACTAATAAATAACATATGTTCTCTGATTTATACTATTTTAGAGAAATGTTCTGTAAGACAATAATTTCTATCCAACATGTGGAAAAAAAACTGTAAAAGCAATGATATCTTGAGAATACTTATTTAAAATAACAAGACTTTAAAAAATCAATAACACTCAAAAATGTCCATTTAAATATTACTGTTACTCATGTTGAAAGCATATGAGAGTAGGAAAACCTTTTTGTGGTTCTCAGTTATTTTCAAGTGTTTCATTTTTAAAATGAGTTCAATAAGCCTGAAACTCATGAGGAAATGCATCGTTTGAAGCAGTCATAGCTCCACCCCCCTTCAGATTTATTTGTCTAGAAATCTGTGAGATGTGTCCTTTCACTTTTTCATAGCTACAGCTAGCATAGCCTGAAATGACTTCAGTCTTTGTTTCTGAATCAAACCCATAAGTACTATTTTTCCAACTCCAACATAAATTGATATACAGAGCTTTATGAAACAAGTGATGGATGATCAAAGAGGTAAAAAAATATTTTTATTTTGGGCTTCTTTGTTATACAGGAAAATCTAGGTGAAGTTTCATCACCTTTTACTTAATAGTAAAACAGTGCACTTAATAAGTATTTAATGGAAAAAGTAAGAAAAGTATACCCTGTCAATGAACACCAGAGAACTTTCCCTAATTCTTGATTAACTTTTTATTGTGTAGGGCTCTATTAACTCTTGTTTGTTTGTTTTTTAAATATACATTTATTTATTTTTAGACAAAGGAGAGGGGAGGGAGGAAGAGAAGGAGAGAAACATCAATTTGTGGTTGCCTCTTGTGCACCCCCTACTGGGGACCTGGCCTGCAACCCTGACAAATGCCCTGACTGGGGATTGAACCAGCGACCCATTGGTTCACAAGCCAGCGCTCAATCCACTGAGCCACACCAGCCAGGGCATATAACTCTTGTTTTAAATCTGTCTCTCAACTTCCCCATTCATAGGTTAATAATCAGGTGCAACAACAACTCTAGTGCACTTAAATAAACTATTCCCAGAAATCTCTTATAGAAGATGAAATGCTTCAGAAATAAGTAGTGCCTAATTTATCTGTTCCCACAAAGGTAAATTATTAAAAAAAATTTTGTGATCCTCACCTGAGAATATATTCATGGATTTGGGCAGTGAGGTGAGATAGGCAGAGACACAGAGATAGAGATAGAGAGAGAAAGAGAGAAACATCGATTAATTGCCATCTATATACACTTGGACAAAGATCAAACCTGCAACCTAGGTATATGTCCTGACTCAGAATTGAGCTCACAACCTTTTGGTGCATGGGGCAACACTCAAACCAACTGAGCCACCCAACCAGGGCCACAAAAGTAAATACTTTAAAGTCATAATTATGGGTTGAAGTTGGTGACCTAAACAAAATAATTGGCTCTCATTCTTCATTTAAGGGGAAGACAACCCAACATTACACACACACACACACACACACACACACACACACACTCAATTCATCCTTCTACAACTTTCTGCAGATAAGAACAACTAATAAGATCAACAATTTTAAATCTACAACTAAACTTCTCTGTAGCCAAAACAGAAACAAGTAGAAAGTTTGTTCAAACACTATGTCCTAACCCTAATCCCCTGTTGAAATCAGAGTGATGTTTCTCAAGGAAGAAAATTCCAGAAAGCTCTACATCCAAAGAAATGCTCTAATTGTTAATGCAGTAAGTAATACTCAACAAAGAGGAGAGGATGGTTTAAAAAAAAAAAAGACTCTAAGAGAACTGTTAAGGGGTATGGTAAAAAAATAAATAAATAAAAATAAAATGATAGGGAAAAAAGCCATGAAAAGTCAATATACTATAGTAAACAATCTACGTGGACAAACATTAAGCTATCAAGTCTGTTCATTCACTCATTCAATAAGCATTTATTAACATGTAGTAATTTTCATTGATCACCATGCATGAGAATCACTGGAGGAGGTGATTTCAGTTGGTCTAGGAGGACAAGTACTGAAAATTTTAAAGGCTATCCAGTTTACTATAACACGCCAGTCAGAGTTAAATTAAGGACCACGAGCTGGTTTTGAAACTATAGTAAACCAAAGGTAATTGGCAAGAACTGTAACAGCAAGGGAAAGGGGAGCAGGTGTCAGAAAGACCTGTGCTTAAATTCTGTTTCTATTTTACCATGTAACCTAACCTCTTTGAGTTGTTTACTCACCTGTAAACCACAAATATTAACATCAACTTATTTTGGCTAGCAAATATAAATGAACAGATAGAATCAATGCATCTGTGGTGTTTATACTGCCGTAAAAATTCTGAGACTGATTTTATTCTGTTTGCAATAGGGAGCCATTACAGATTTTTGAGCTAGATCTTTTTCAAGCTTTAGTATTTTTAGGAAAATACATTTAAGATTTACACAGGCTGATGCAGTAATCAATAGTTAATCTTCTTTACT